TTTCAGTTGTACAGGAAGTTCTTATTCTGTTTGCTGAATACCTTGTACGCTACCTGCTTTTTTTGTCTAAATGTTAATGTAAACCATGTTCTGTCACAGGAAATGGTTTGCATATGCTAGAACTGTAAAAAAAAAAAAAAGCCTGGAAGGCTTATTCCACCCACTGGGATCTCCACTGGGATCTCATGGGATCTGCACTGGAGAGATCTGTGTGCTTACTTTCCCAGGACTGATGGAACCAGTACAAGCGGGTCCTATTCTCCCCATTGCATGTTTTATAATATATTATATAAAGAATGCCAAGGAGCTCTTATCTCTGGAGTTCCCAAGTCATAAGAATCCACAGGGTCTCTTAGTACACCAGATTCCATTTGTATACACTTTTAGCTTGTATGACCATTAAAAAATATAAACAGCGTTCTACTTGTGGGGGGCCAAAATGACTTCTGATCTGATTGATCCAATTAGTGTAAGTATCTGGCAATCTGAATCCCTTTTTACATGTACTTGGATGTGCGCCAGTGCACAAATCAATTTATACACAATTGTGTTTTCCCTGTTTCCACATCGTTGTAATCCTTGTGATTAAACGGATGAAGGGATTAATGCAAATCATTGCTTATAACATATGTATACACTTAGTCTACTGTGTAACAGCATATAACTAGCTCCTTCTTAACAGCTTAACTTTGGTTGTACATATATCCTCCATGTACTACAGAAACTGCTTGATAAACTAGTTTTTAGATAAAGTTATGATCTGAATGATTGTGTTAGGTTTTAATAGGCCAGTATTGTACTGCCACAAAAAGCATATAGGTGGAAAGGAAGCACTACCGGCAAATGTTTTTGCCAGTGTTGTAAAAACACCACGTGTTGTGTTACAGCAAGGGTAGGCAAACTCCAGCCCTCCAGCTGTGGTGAAACTTCATGTATCTGCTTCTGGGAGTCAGGCCTGTGGCTGTCAGTGTTACAATGCCTAATGGGTTTGTGTAGTTGCACCACAGCTGGAGGGTCAATGTTTGCCTACTCCAACATAAAAGATCCAACATAAAACATGTACTTTGTGAAAAATGATTTCATTGTTTTATGTTTCCATTCTGTTCTGTACTGATGACTCCCACACCCATTATTTATTGCGCCATGTCACATCTCGAAATTTTCCAATTGGGGTCATAAAGCAAATTAAAAAACCTGGCAGGATATTTTATCCCCCCCAAAAAATGCCCATATGTGGGCTTAAAAGTAGTCTGAAAGGTTTGAGCAGTAGCAGTATAGGTAGCAGAGTCAATGTGGTTTATTGGCCTAGCTGTACTGAGTTCAAGTCGTAAAGCTTTATTTATAGCAAAGAAAATATACATTTAGATCAGATATGTTCACATTTGGCCAAACTGGCAACTCTTTGCCAGGACTGGTGATTGGCATGTGGAGTAGGGAATAATTGTCTGGGAACAAATCTTTTGAGAACAACTAATCTGGTTGCGGTTATCTTACGAGGCAACTAGAAACTAGGTAGTCTGAGAAGATACTTCATTTAAAGTTAGGACTTTTGAGCAGGTTGATTGGAAGTACATCTTATTGTTCCTTTGTTGCCTTCCTTTTCTGTAAGAGGCTAAACAAAATTGTGTTGACTTTTCTGAGGTCTACCCCCTCATAGCTATCACATTAAATTATCATGCATTGTATCACTGGAGCTTTGGTGCTACAAGGGTGCTGAGATGGGAGCAATGTCCCCTACAATAAAGCCTGAATGCCTCTGTTACATTTGTAGCAAAATATTATATTGTACTAAGTGGTTGGAATGTTACATATGCAATAGAAATGTTAGTCTTCCATTTTAAATTAAACTAATCTTTGGCAAGACCCTGACAATAAAAGCATGCTTTGCCTAGGGTGTGTGTTTGCTGAGAATTATGTTTTGTTATAAAAAGGAGATTTTAATATCATCATGAAGTGGACTTCCGACCTTAGAGGCCTAGTATGTTCACTATGCATCATGCTGAATCTCCGCAAAGGCCTACTCTCCCATTGTGCTGAGATTATGTTAATATCTCACACAAGTGCCATGTTGTTTTTCTCTTTCGCAGCCTTGCAGCAAATATAATATGATCAAGGAGAAGAGGGGCCTACAAGGTCAATGACCTAGCTTGTGCCATTACCAGTAAATTAGATCCTGCCTCAGAATAGATCTGCTGAATGAATTAAATTACTGATAAGAATGAGCTTGACACTGTTTTAAATCCACACCTGCTGCCTGATGCAGCACAGCGGCATCCATATGACTGGAATGTAAATGGTCAAGGCAAGCAGATGCTATTTAAAAAAAACATTCAAGTTTGCTTCTCTAGATTTGTTTTTCATTTTTTTATATACATTTGTTAAAGATTAAAATTTAGTTCTGGATTAAGTGGGGAGAAGGTTAGGTCCCCGATCAGCTTTTTATTTCTTTCTATGACCCAGTTGAAAGGACATCCCCTCACATCCTGTCCAGGAGACATATGTACAAGGACAAAAAATTAAGGGGATATCTCTAAGGGGGGAACATAGACCGTGATACAAAGCTGACAGAGGGTATGGCCTTACCCTATTCTTTTATTACTGTTGTGTCCCTAGTTAAAGTTAAAAAGTCTGCAATGGGATCATTTATACTGTAGTGCCAACAGCAGCAGTTATCAGTGAGTATCTCAAAACTTCGGTGCAGTACCAAATTCTTTCACAGCTTTAAAGTGACCCTATCACCAGACCATTAATTTCAACAACAATCTTCTCATAACATTATATGTGCATTTTAAATGTATTTTATGCACCTGTAAATCCTCCCCTGTATAGACACCTCAAAGCCCGGAGACCGTTGCCAGGTGCTGCCATCTTGGATATGATGTCAACAGCCCCAGCAGACTCAGAGCTGCCACTCATGTGACACTCTATAGTATTTATCTTTGCTCCTCCCCTGGCAGCTACATAAAAGGTTATGTAGGAAAGTAAGGGGAGGGATGGAGGAACTGGGCCAGCATAACCGTAATTAGATACTTCCAGAAGAGAACTGTGACATGCAAGGTAGGAGGGGGCTGTGCTAGGGAATTGACGCTTCCTAAAGTTAAATTTACTAAAAAGTTTAAAAGCATATTGCAAGTTGATAAAAAAAATGTTTTTAGAAAAAAAAGACACATTTATGACACTGTGCTTATACCTGCAATTGTATAAGTTGATAACCGGGTATCTTTAAAGTACCAGTGTTGCTCCTATACAGGGCAAACCAACAGGTTTACTTTAACAAAGGCCCCACTAGCTTTACATACTCATCTTGCCTTCATTCCACTGCCACTCTTTTTTGTGGCCAGGAGTTAGGGATGGTTGACCCTGTGCATATGCAGGGCTGAGGACCTGCTTCCTGCCACCATGTGACAGCATCCTCGTTTACTTGTGTTGCTTCATCGCTGGATGAGCAACTACTTATTTATGTATGCAGTATTTATGTAATCGAGGGAGTGTCACCTCTTTTGTCTGGGCAACAAGGTAGCTACACATGGAAGCAGGTGAGCAATTCAGTCACTGGTAAGTTCATACCACCAACAGGATTGCATGTGTGACACCAGCCTTAAAGGAGAGCTATGAGGTGAGTGTTTTTCACTCACCTCATAGTTCTAGCCAACCTGTGACAATGAAACTATCACAGGTCGACTCAGTAGATCGGGAGGTGAGCGAACACATACCGGCGTTCGCTCACTTCTCGATCCTGTCACGGCTCTCTGACGGTATGGACTGGATTCCCCCCTCCCCGCTCCGATCCTCCAGCGCTGACTGGCGGAACGGACGTGGGAGGGGTCGGGTACAGCTGGCTCTGCCACTAGATAGGCAGAGCCAGATGACACTCACGCAGCTGGGCAGATCCCGACATAATTGTCGGGATCCGCTTCAGCTGCGGCGTCTCAGTATACCACGAGCTGTAGCTCGCAGTATACTGAGCTTAGGGTGACCGGAAGACGCTAGTTTGTGTCCTCCCGTTACCCTAAGGAGAACTATGGGGAAAAGCCCTAACCCCATAGTTCTCCTTTAACTGCCTCCGGGCCGGTCATAGTACAAAAACGGCGTCTTTAGACGCCCGCTCAGACACGCCCCCTCGCGTGCTCCGCGGGAAATTGCCTTTTTTTTTAAACGGGCAGCGATGCCTGTTACCATACAAGCGATCCGCCGGCTTTAGAGCCGGCGGATCGCTTGTATGGGGTGCCGATCGGTCCCCCTCTCCGCGGTCCCCCCCGCCGTTGTCCCGCTGATCCCGGGCTCCGCTGTGCCCGGTGTGGTCTTCAGAAGCTGGAAAGAAGCTGATGGAGCAGATCTGTGCTTCATCGGCTTCTTTTGGGGGGTGACTTGGAGACCCCTGATGTCTCCATAAAGAGGACCTGTCACATATTTTAGTTCAATCTGAATTTATTAAAGATTTGTCCTGGCCAGGAAGGGAGACCCCCTTCCTGGCCAGGCCATTTTTCAGTGTTCAACGCTGCAGTACTTTGACTGACGTTTATTCTGTCATGCAACGCTGTACTGAAATGAATTTTATGAAACACCTGTTCTTCAAGTGGTTAATGTACATGTTTATTTTCGAAGTAAATTTGGAGCAATTATGTAACAATCTCTCACAGTGGATTGTTAATTATTGTGTAAGCATAGATCATACCAAAATACAGGAACAATAGGTTTTTTTTGGCTTTATGGTATGAAAAAAAGATATTAAAAAAATAAGATACATCCTACTGATTGTAGCCATGTAAGTTTTCTTTCCCTGAACTAATAGCCGTGTTTTTCACATAATAATTTAATTTCAGTTCTCCCATTTATAGCTCTGGACGGAAATCTTTTTCAAAACACAGATGGCGATTATACATTTTTCTATTTTAATATTTTCAGCAAATGCTTTCATGTCCTTTAATGGAAATAAGATGGCGAAGTGTCTGGCTATTTTTCCCTGCCTATGCTAATATAAATGCTTAATTGTTTTCCAGGGGGCTGTTTGCTGGCAACTTCACAACGACGCACTACACTGAGGGCGGCACTGCTGTTATCACTGCACATAATCACTCGGTAAGGTTCCCATTAAATTACGGCATAATATTACGCCATCCTGTAGTTTCAGCACAAAGCCTATGGTGGCTGTCAGTTTGTCTATCCAATGGGTAATGAAAATTGATGAGCTGTAAAACATGTCAAAAAGATGTGTGTGTCCAGAAAAAGGTTAATCACACCAAGGGAAGAAGGAACCAGCAGCAGCGCACGCCAGCAGCCATGCAGAGTGTAGCATAACTGCTGGTGTGAATGAGCCCTTATTGAGATGAGCAACAATGGGGGGAAAAAAAGGCATTGTAAGATATTGTATCTGAAGTTTCGTGCACTTGTTAGACATTGTTGCAGCAGGGTATTCTGCTTTTTGCCATAGTTAACTTTACGTTGGCCTTACACCTGTACAGCAGCTTTCTGTAAAAATGTTCCTTTGAAAAATCTCATCAGAACATTTGATAACGCCATCACAGACTTGAAGAATGTCATTCGAAATTTCGTTAGATCTTAACATTCCTTTTCCTTCTCTGCGATCTAAATTGATCATTGACTAAATTGATCATTGACTTAGAAAATCAAAGGATCCAGAAACAAACTTTTTGAATAAAATTTTCACAGGCATGGGGCCAACTTTAGTCATAGTCAGTCCAGGAAATGCTGCTGCTGCTATGCTTACCAAGTTTCCTGCAATTCCTTATTGGCAGATTTATAGGTGGTGCGTTTTAACCAGCGGACACTGTAGATTGCTTCTTTTGCAAGCTCTTATGCAATGGCATCCATAGGATGTGAATCAAAGGAGGACTGCACATAACTGGGCATCCTGGCTCAAAGGATGAATACCAGGATAACATGACAGGGTGTTCAGAGAAGTGGGATGTGTCCCTTGGCGTCGATTTTAAAAGCAGCATGTTCACGGCTCTCTGGAATGTACTTTTTAGCACCTATTCCAGTGCTGGCCATGATATCCACATGCTTTGACAGCCGCCCAGTAACGGGGCCAAACAACAGAAACAACCGTTTGTCAGATTAATGGGGTTACATCTCCCGTGGGATTTCCTTGGACCGGTATTGTGCTATATGTGGAAAGGAGAACATAACGCAGGGAAGCACTTTAATATGCCAAATCATAAAGCATAACCTGGTGAAGTTACCATGGGGATGCAAGTCCATGAATATGTCAAGAAGCTGATGTGTTGTCATTCTGGAGCCAAGCTGTCTGGCACTGCAATGTGTGCTAGACACGTAGATATGTGTATTTGTAAAATAGGCGTACTGCTCTACGCTAGCGTGTGTTTAACTCAAGTATTCCCGTGTTTGCATGTTACATGTAGATTTTACACATGAAAAGAGCAGCAAATTGCAATCACGCCATTTTCTTTAGTAAACTTTCTAAAGGGGTTCTTTAACTCCTTGTAGGAGATTAGTAAAATATTTCCCATTACAGGAAGAGATTTTATTCACACGTGCCCATTTTTATTTGTATTTATTTTATTTTTTTGTTGTTCACACAGACCTTTACATGTCAGTTGTAGGTCTTGCGTTATGCCTTAGCCTTGCTGTCTGCCATGATGTATTGGAAGCATAGTGGGGAGAAGGGGAGGCTGCAGCAGAAATGACAATTTATAGATAATATATAAGTCACAGGCACAAAGGGCATCCGTAAGCCCCTTTAAGACTACATGCAGCTTGTTGATTCTGAGTTTGTCATGTCTTCAGTATATTATTGCAACATGCAGTATGATGATGTGCTAGCATTTTGGGCATTCAACCACTTTGTTTACTTTTTTTGTGTTCCTGTTATTGGTGACTCTTTATCTTTAATTTTATATGGTGGTTGATTTAAGGTTATCAGTTACTTTTAGCTGCTGTCCTGTCCACTTTTTGTTGTTGATACGTTTAAAAAATGGGCTTTTGATTTACGTTGTGGTATTTTGAGGTTTTCATTTTTTTGGGGTGTATGTTTATTATTTTTTGTTCATATGGCCTTTATTTTGGATTAAACTGCTATTTATTGCAACAGGTCTCCCCTTGTTTAAAAGGGGCAATAATGTGGGGTTTTTATTTATTTTGAGGGTTTATTTTGTATTACATGTATGGAGGGCTAATTTTATAAGTCAAACTGTTTTTTTTTTTTTTTTTCTGCAAGGTTTCTATTTGTTGTAGGGGTGGTATTTTTGGGGGGTTTAGTTTAATTTGTAAACTGAAATAATCAAATTGGCTTTGTTATTGATTGCATCTGCCTGCTGCTGAGTGTAGGCTTGCCACAGAGCAGAGCAACCAATAATGGAATGCTATGGATATCTGTGTCTCTCCAGCCAATCACTAGAAGTTTCATGGCCAATGGTTCATGCTGGCAGAGAGCATAAATATCTGGGTCTGACCATGTGAGAGCCTCTTTCTCCACTGGGGCTCCTGTCTGGGGAGGTGCATTACATGTGTGCTGTCTAACCAGACCTGAAGCCTACAGGTGGCCAGATGTGGACTCAGTCAGGGTCCAGAATTGTTCCTGGGATAGAGAGCCATGGAGGAATGTTGTCTGCTGGAGGTACCTGAGAAGCCAAGATGGGCTCGGACCTCAGAGAGAAGTCTTGTGTCTCACTCAGGGGAGATCTCAAAATGTCTGCCAACTATGGTGCTTTAACACAGTGTCACCCCACTTCTGGTTCTACACTGTGAAGCTGGAAAGCATTTGGCAAGTCTGGAGTTCTGCATTCATCAGATGTCTCCAGTGCTATACCCTCTTTCCCTGTTTTGCTGTTGGTTCTAATAAAGCATCATAAAAATTCTAAAAGTGACTGGCAACCTATTCACTCCACGTATCCCACATTCCGGCTAGGGATCCATCTCTGAGATGAAATGTCAGATCCTCCAGAATCCAGGGGGGCGCTACAGACTAACAGATTTTTCTGCTAAGTTCAGGTTTCCAAATTTCAAACAGTATTCTCTATCTCCAGTTGGTGAATGAATGGGAAGCCTCTGTGCTGAGTGCTCCTATTCATTCACTGCTGGGGCTGCAGCAAAAGAGACTGAGGACTCAATCTTTTTTTTTCTATCACAAAAAGGGAAATGTCAGACCCCCTGTATAAAAATAAATAAAATTAAAAATGTAAAAATGATAAAAATTAAAAAAGAAACAACCCCCCCCCCCCACACACACATATGATATATACATGTAAAAGTAAGCACCATATTGTGGTGTATGCCATGCACATGAAAGTGCATTTGTAGAACATCACAGTGCTTGATTTTTTTATTTTCAAAATAACATTCATTTAACTGTGTGGCAGTGCATGGCAAAGCGTTGTGATGCATTGCCATGCATTGTGATAAGCTGTGTTGCGATTAAATATATGCCTGCATCATTTTATCACAACACAGTGCACAAACAGCAATGCAGATCAGGCGTTACCACAACACAGATTTTTTAACAAAAGTTGCTTACTTACAGTTTTTTACCGCTTCGCTTAAAAATTAAGATTACCTCAATACAGTTTTATCTTTTTAGATATAGTTGGAAAAGGGTATTTTGTGTGCACCGATACTGATTTTAGTGTGCTTTTATCAATTTAATTGTGTATTTTTATCGGTTTAATATTGATTTGATAAACATTTGCGCGCTTATTGCACGCAGGACCTGCAAAATTAGTAGCACCATCTTTTTTTATTCTACCGGTCCTGTGCTTTCAGGAAATGTATAGTTTGGGGGGGGGGGTCTTTTACAAACTCTAAAAGCAGCAATTGAAAACGAAACAAAAAAGGTGAAAAATTGCTAAAATGTTGTGGCCAGCCGAGGTTAAAAGTGGAACGTAGGGCTTGGCAGCAAAAGGGTTAAGATTTCACCTCTGCAAATCAAGATTTTTTTCTTTCCTCTTCCTTTTGAATATTAAAAGAAAAGCCTCAGAGCAAATCTACTGATGTTTGCGAAGGCTCTGCCTCGTGTTGATGTGTGCAGGGTGCAAATGAATTCAGCCGAAAATTGCCTGTCTCCTGGAATCGTACATCGTGAGGGGTGCATTACATCAGCCGGCTGTCCCCTATGGAGCCTTTTTATGTTTCATGTTACTGACGTCCTGGGACTTAGCAGTCTAGCCTCAACCTTCAGGCAAAGAACAGCTGGAAAAGACCAGAGTCTGGAGCCACTGCTCAAGATAATATATGTTGTTATAAAAATTAACTGCACTTTAAAGGTCAAACAATGTTAGCTGCATATGTTATGACTCTCAATATTTGCTTGGTAATAGAAATTATGCTTTATTGCCTTTTTCTGCATTCTTATCTATTGTCCAGCAGGCAGATGGCAGGACTGCTCGCTGATGGCTTTCCCAGAATTCAGTCATCTGTTTTTAAGACTTTTATTTCTCCAAACAACCTCAGATATTTAATATCTGTAATGCTTCCTTGCGATGAGCGCTGGTTCTCCGAAATTTACATTTTACCTTTTTGGACGGTTTTGTTTTATCTACAGGTGGTTGCTCAGAATTCTTTGGTGATATATAATCCTGTGATATAGTGTGTTGTTCTAGAGTACTTTAACAGGAAAAAGAAAATGGAGATTTATTATGGAAAGCATAGCATAGCTTTTATGTTTTAGATATAATGACCATTCCTGGAAAAGCATGTGGAAGTAGAACAATGCAGATATCATATGTTGTAACATGTTTTCCAGTAGGTGTTACCATTTCTGTGGTTACTGGCAGTTTTTTTGGAATGTGCTGCTATTTCTGAAGAGTTGCTCCTCTTTAAAAAAGGATTAATTAAAGCCTGTTTTTGTCACTTGGTTAAAACGGGAATTTATATTGGCTCTACTGTGCTGGATGCAAGATGACATCAATAGCAATAATGCTATTAAACCAAACATGTGCTTTACCGATGCTAGGCAGCCCCAGGGTTGTATTGATAGGCGTATATGACCAACCATATAGTAATATCAGCTATTTATGCTCTGCAGCTATTCTCTAATGCTGAGACATACACTATATTGCCAAAAGTATTGGGACGCCGGTCTTTAAACGCACATGAACTTTAAT